CATGGGATCTCAGAAGTGGTTACTTGGTATCACCTTCCACTCACCACTCTCTCGTGCAGGATGACGCACCGCTCTGCAGGAGTTCCAAGTGGATAGATATTTGTTCCGTGGCAGCACCAAGATAATCAGAACATAATTTGGGAAGAAGGGCATTTTTTTCTTTTGGACAAAGTGGGAAAACATACAGAAAATAATGGGTGAGAATCGGCGCAGACAAACTCTAAGTCAACACAGAGATGACATTCGGAATGGCAGGTGATTGTGTGCTGATGTCAAAGCCCAAATCTGAAAATTACTTCCTCCTCGGATGACAGAGAAAACATTAACAACAAAAAAGTTGTACTTGTGTCGAGTGGCTCCTCCACTCCTACAAAAGATGATGTATTTAAATGTCTCTTACGTCGCCAAACTAAGGACACGTTGAGCAGGAAACACATCATTGTTGAGATGAAGAGGATGAGGTTCCAGATGTCACACTCGACGAAACAACCGCTTCGCCTGTCTGAACAAAAATAAAAACAGTGCACAGCTCCCAGACGGGTGGAGAGTGGACAACCGTGGACATCATCAAAGAAGCGGGACCAGCTGTCGAAACACAATTAGCGGGACCTATGCATGAAATGTTTTCACAGACAACGAAACATCTCAATCATGGAACGATGCCTCGATTGTGGCATGCTTCCCTAAAATCATTCCTCCATTCAAAATATGACAAACAGATCTGCAGCATTACAGACACGTAAGCCTCATACCGCATGCATATAGCATGTTCACAATGATCACGAGGAACCACTCGGGAAATGGACAAGTTCGAGCCCGATCTACCACGTGAGTAAGCTGCGTTTGGGCAAGGGGTTTCCTCCCGTGAATTGCACGCACACTATGAATGAGATTCTCAAAATAAGAAATCAAATCGCGAGAATAAATGCTGCTCGATGCATGGAACTCGTTGAGCGAACGGCTTTTGGCAAACCATGGAACAAAGACGGCCACTGCATCGCGCACATTCAGATGCGCTTCTGTGGTCGTCTGGAACGCTCTTCCTTCCGATATTAAGAAGCAACAGGAGCTATGCATTTTTAAATAACTCTAGATTGACAACTCGTTTTTTTTAAGAGCTTATTTTTGCGTTTAGTTTGTTGTCCTTCCCCCGCACCTCTGATTGGCACGATTGGCTACGTACGGTGTGAAAGAAGTTAAACATATATACATACATATGTCTCAAATGCAGCTTGGCTGACCGCTCTGCGTTTGAAATCATGCTTCAGATGAATGGCAGTGATTATGAAATCAAGGCAAAAGCAGAATAAACAATTGTACGTGTTCTCCCCAGCCAGCGTCGAATATATAACAGCGCTGGTTCAGTCAGATCTTAGAGGTTTGAGTCGACATCGTAGCAACGTTCCTACTACGAGAGGTGGAAAACACAATAATAACAATAGTAACACGGGAACACATCGAAAGCGTCATGAAGGAAATGATCAACGGCTGCATTGAGAGATCGCATGAGGCTCAGAGTGGTGGATGAAAGAGTAAACACTATTAGCAAGCGACCCTTGGTAATTCAAAGATATTTTTAAAGTAAAATAATAAATTGTTACCGTTTGTCAATAAACTGGTGGATGAAGACCTCTCAGTTGTGTGGGGAGCTTTATTTATGTTCACCAAACTTCACCACTTTGGCCGGTGGAGGTAAGGGAGCCTCCCCAGTGACCCGTTTCGAGTTCACTCGCCTCTGATGTTTGCAGTGGCCAGGAATAGAACTCACTGCCATCAGGTTCATCGCGCAGTGGCCTAACCTGTGGCGAGATGTTCACTCCCTCGCCTGGTATGCAGGAGGTCGAGGGTTCGATCCCGACCCTGACGATGCCTACTATATATTTGGAGTTTGCGGGTCTCTCTCCGTGTGGTCGCGTGGATTTTTCTCAGGGTCCTTCGGCTTTTTTCCCTCCACATTTAGAAACACGTGTTTAGAATATTTGGCTGCTTTACATTTCCACGTGATAAAGCCAATTTGTTGAGCTATCATTTGTGGCTTCTGAAAAAGAGTTATACAGCTCAGTGGGCCTTGCCTGGTGGAATAAAATAAAATTGTTTATAGTTTCGGGTCTCATAGAGTAATTCGGGATTCGCCAGAGACGAACTTACACCATCATTGCGAAACAAAGGCATCTAGAAGTATTCGCTTTCCAGGTAATCGTGTACATGTACGTATGTATGTTGAACTTCTTTCGCACCGTACAGAGACAACCATGCGAGTCACAGGTGCGGGGAAAGAAAGCTGTCACTGTAACGTGTGTTTAAAAACAACACAAATATCTGAATTGTAGTATCAGCGTTGAGACAGACGGCAAGGCAGCAAGACCTTATTGTGTACGCCGGCTTTGGCAGCAATCGCACGTTGCGTTGTAGCACATCATGTGAAAGCGATACCACAGGTCTTTGTGCGACCTTCTTTCAGGGTTTATTTTACACGGCCACTGAGACCGCACTCTGTTCAGACGCACACTGTGGGTGATTCGCTCTGTGTCTGTCCGGCCCAAAATGCAAACGAACTAGATTTATGCAAAACCACAACATTTTGGAGGTTTATTTTGTGTGCGATCCCTGGTGATGGGGAGCGGTGGTTTAGCCGGCATCGGACTGCACTACGGACCCGACGACCCGAGTTCGATTCCCGCTCACGGCCAATGCCAGTTGGCGAATATCTGAACCGGTCCTGTGCCTTCCCTAGGTCGACTCGGCCTCAAATGCGTAACTGGTGTGGTGTGTAAACATCGCCACTGGGAAGACAAAGGTGGTCGGGCATGGTGCTGGCCACCCACCCACTCGTGTACCGTGCCAGTCTTCATAGGTGCTCGCTAACGACACTTGCCCCAACAGTCTGTTAAGGCTATAAGGGGGATCTTTGTCTTTGATGACTCCAAACAATTTGGATCGAGCATCTCTGCAGTTACGGCTCATGACTTCAGCATAAGCAGTGACGATGTCTGACCATGTCTGAGACATCCCAACACCGACTAGCTCCTTGAAATGAAAAATCATTGCAGTATTAAATTTAAAATCGAAAACGCTGTCAGTAAATGCATACTACGACATGTATCTACCTAGGAACGCCTCACCGATTCTCAAAACGTTATTCATATATTCTAGATTCGAAGTTTTCGTGACTGCAAGGATCTATACTCTTTGGTTCTTTCGGTAAAGTCACCACTCGCTTCTAGCCCACCCCCCCCCCCCCGTACAGTCTCACGTCCCAGTCCCTGACGTCCACACTTTATTATATAAACTCCTTAGCCCCGGCAATTCTCACACTTTAGTAAAAAACATTCTAGCTGTGGTTTTTCACACCTGCTGATGATTGCTTGTGTTGCAATCGAAACGTCGTGATTAAATTGACTTTTATTTATTTTTTATTTCTATTTTTTTACCTACGTGACTTTACCGAAAAAAACAAAGAGTATAGTTATTCAGATATATTCTAGAGGGTCCTGTGAGGTGTTGTGGTAGGGGTGAAACAATTGCCCTACGTTTTCCCAATTGAGCAATTGGCGGGAATTTTTTTGTTCCAATGTGGACCAAGACTGTAGTCCACACGTGACTAACTAGTCATCGACTAACGTCATCACGGCATCCTTCATGACTAATGCGAAGCAGGATATTAGCACGAGCGTCTTAATTAGCAGCCCTCGTTAATCCACCGCTGGATAAAAAAACCGAAAACTATTTAAACGATGTTTTAGTTAAACTATTTTTTATTTTACCAGGTAAGGCCCACTGAGCTGTGTAGCGCTTCTTCAGAAGCGATCTCGCCACTAACGATAGCTCAACGAAGTGGCTTATCGCGTGGAACTTTGTAGCGGCCAAAAAACTCTAAACGCACGTTGCTAAATGTGCAGGGAAAAACCGGAGGACCCGGAGAAGAATCCAGGCGACCATGGAAAGAGAACACGCAAAATCCAAATATACAGGCGTCAGGGTCGGGATAGAACCCATGTCCAGTATATCGGGTGAGGTGGTAAACATCTCAGCACCGTTGGAACTTAAGGACTCTCCAAGGCTTGTCCGTCATCGTGGAGGTTGTTTTGACCATACTTCACCACGCCGGTCAGTGCGGATGGGAATTTTTTTCAACAATTACATAGTTTATGCTTTCACGTGACTTTACCGAAAGAACCAAAGAGTATGGATTCCTGCAGTTACGAAAGCTTCAAATCAAGATTGTCATTAATGTGTTAGGTGTACAACACGATATACATTTCAATTAATAATTGAAAGGCACATATTTAAACTGCATAGCCTGAAGACAATCACAATTGCGAGACAAACTAAACGCGTATTAACGTGCATTCTGAAAGCATAGAAACGTGTGGAAGGTAAAAGTGCTGCCCTGTGATTTGCTCACTCACGCCGCTGCTGCTAGAAGGGCCTCCACTAGACGAAGCTTCTTAAAGAGCCCCTCTAAGAGGGCATTTGGCCTCCTTCTTCTCCATGCTGGTTAGACATCTATGAGCAGGGGTGAAGAACCCTCACTTTACCCCACGGCCGTAATTATAATATATATTGGTGCTCAAAATGCCCCCCCCCTCCCCAATATATTGCTATAGAATAGATTTCTGTTTATATGATTGTGGTTATGGTTGTACTTTATTAATCACTAATCTCAGCCATTACAATGAAACAAGAAAAGATAAAACATAAAAAAACAGAGTAATGTAATACAATACACTATTAGACATTATTAAAAAAATAAATAAATAAAAGTCCATCCCATGTGTTAGTGAATTTTTTAATATTTTAGGCAGGAAATGGCAGGAAATTCGTTTTCAAATTTAGATTTTTTTTTTTCTGAGGGGGGGACCCCAGACCCCCTGGAAGATCTGGTCCCCCCCAATGTTGACTCCATGGCTACGGCTTTGCTTTACCCCCATCACACGTGGCACTCGAGAGGGAGGGGGCAGGTGTAAGAGACTCCCCTGCATCGTTTCAACTGCCACACCGGGAGATCGAACCAGAGGTCAACTGCTGCTCGTCCGTTGCGCCAAACGTCCTCTGTGTGTGTTGCAACGTGGACAAAACAGACAGGTGGGTGAGTAAATAAGGGCCCGTGCTATGTAGATGAGGCCCCTTAAAAAAAACATAGCGCTATAAATCTTGATTTAAAGCTTTCGTGACTGCAGGGATTCATATTCTTGGTTCTTTCGGTAAAGTTAATATATTAATATTATTTTATTATTTCTCTTCTACGTGACTTTACCTAAAGAACCAAGAATATAGCCGCTATAATCAACATTTACATCACCTGCACTCTAAATCGCCCCCCCCCACCCCCTTGCCCCCCACTTCTTCCAATCTCCATATAAAAAAAACCCACCGACGCCACCAAACAGCGCTACTTAAGTAACGCAAGCCAGATGCCCCGCACCTGAACCCGCAGCGCTAAATAGAGACATTGTTTTTGGTAAAGGGATGCCGTCCGTGCAACTCGACTTGTTTGGAGGTTAGGGGCCATGGGAAGATTTTGGGTGGTTTTTTTTTTAAGACGATTGCCCGGCCCTGCTGCGTCCGCTTGTTTTAATTTGCTTTTTTTACTGCCAACTGTTAAGGCAATTAAAATACCGTTTCGCGTACGACATGCGCGCGCGTGTGTGTGTGTATATAAACACGCGTTTATATCCGCAGGATACAAACGGGGAGCGGTAGCGTAGCGGGTTAACGCGCCGTACTACGAACCCGGCGACCCGAGTTCGATTCCCGCTCTACGGCCAACACCGGTTGACGATTATCTGAACCGGTCTTGGGCCTCCCCTAGGTCGACTCAGCCTCCAATTTGTACCTGGTGCGGTGTGTAACCATCACCACCTGGGAGCTAACGGCGGTCGAGCGTGGTGCTGGCCACCCGCTCTCCCTCATGTGCCATGCCGGCCAAACGGGGGATCTTTGTCTTTGTATCTGCAGGAGTAAAGTACGCTCATAATGATTACAACTCACATGGAGAGTGCTGTACCCATTACACATATACTGTACATAAATGCACGTTATACTGCATACACATACACGGATGCAGTATAAGATCGCGTATCCGCCCTGACCAATTAATCGCCCGAGCACAGTGCAATGCCTCCGCATGGAGTTTTCTATCGTTGTTTGCAGTAATTTACGCAGGCATAATCTACGTCATGAATTTTTACTCTACAGCAACGCATTTTTCACAAGTTTAGAAAGTTGTTTTCACTCTACACATTTTAGGCATGGCGTAACCAATTTCGGCGTTCACATATCTGTCCATATATACCGTACTCATACCTCTTTTGTGTGAGCAGGTAAAGCCCACTTAGCTATGCAGCTCTTTGTCCAGAGGCGACCTGGCCACAAATGATAGCTCAACGAAGTGGCTCGTCACGTGTGGAAATGTACAGCAGCTAAATAATCCAAATTCACGGAGAAAAATTCCACGCGACCACGGAGAGAACCTGCACACGGGCATCAGGGTCGGGCTCGAACCCACGACCTCCTGCGTACCAGGCGAGGGAATTAACATCTCGCCACCGCCGCGCCCCTCAAGTCCCACAGAGAGTCGGATATGTCACGTTGAACTGCACAAAAAATACATACCCAGAGTCAACTAAAATAATAGTGAGAGCCCAATGGAACAGCCGTCTTTCACTCGGGAGTTGTGATATAAAAAGACACACACACACACTGGCAGTATTCACATGAACAGATGTTGATCGAAATTAGAGCGGTATTGTGTGTACACTGACAAGTGTCCCTGCGGCTCAATCGGGTTCACGGTGGTGGCTATCTTGACTTGGAGGTCCGGAAACAGAGGTGGAAACGCCACATTCTTGCGGCAGGGGCTAGTCCATCCACAGGACATACAGTAGAAACCATTGTCTTCTCAAAAAAGTGATAGCTACCTCTTCTTGGCTCTTTCGGTAAAGTCACGTAGAAGGGAAATAATAAAATAATAAAAATAAAACATACTAATAAAATAATAAAAATAAAACGCTGCTTGCGTTGTGGCCGAAACGTCGTGAGAATTATTTTATAATGTTTAATTTTTATTATTTTATTATTTCCCTTCTACGTGACTTACCGAAAGAGCCAAGAAGATGAATCCCTGCAGTCACGAAAGCTTTAAATCGAAATTTAGTGATAGCTACGTTGAACAACCCTGGAGGGATGATTTTGCTGAGTTGATCACCAACCAGGATTGGACGCGTGTGAAAGTAAAGAGCTGCATAGCTCATCGGATTCCTCGAGTACAAATACATAATCTGATTCTGGATTCCAATGTATCGGCCTGATTGCGAGACCTACGTGCCCTCTTTTGTTACAGCGTCCAACAAGCCAACTTGCCGCGTGCTGCTGTTTAAACCATTTCGTCATGCCACATGTTCAGGAGCTCAACACCAAAGTTTGAGGTCTGCGAGCCACGAGGAGGCTTCAGGAGAGAGGAGTTTTTTGTGGTTTTGCTGTTCCTCCTCCTCCTCCATTTAAGGAGCACAGAGCAGAGTGGGTTTTCTACGTGGTACGTAGCTGGGGTTGTATGGTCACAATCGCACTGCTGTGGCCTGTCTATAATGTGTGTCTGTGAGTGTCTATGCATCTCTACAAGTCTCTCTATATATATATATCTCTATGTATTCTAGATTTGAAGTTTTCGTGACTGCAAGGATTCATATTCTTTTGCTTTTTCGGTAAAGTCACGTAGGTAAAAAATAAATAAATGAAAAAAACTAAATTAAATCACGACGTTTCGGAGGCAACACAAGCTTCCGTCTTCAGGTGGCATCGTTACAGCCAAAATCACCCCAATACCCCCCCTCTCCTGCATAATTAATAGATGTTATCAATCGGCTTATCTCAGCTTAGCACCCGCCCCTCCGACTCCACACGGCACGCCCCCCCTACCTTGGCTCCCCCCCCTCTTACCCTATATAGTCGCGTTTCTCTATTAGCTCTTCACTTACTACAGTGAGTTTGGCTGTAACGGTTCCACCTGAAGACGGAAGCTTGTGTTGCCTCCGAAACGTCGTGATTTAATTTAGTTGTTTTTCATTTATTTATTTTTACCTACGTGACTTTACCAAAAAAACCAAAGAGTATCTCTATGTTTCTCTATGGGATCACTACCTGGTCCATATGCTTGAGTTTCATGGCCAAAATCGCACTACTGCTGTCGCTTATCTTTAATGTGTCTCTGTGAGTCTCTTTGTATCTCTATGGGTCTCCATGTATCGCTATGTGTCTCAACGTGTTTACTACGTGGTCCATAGTTTGGGTCGCATGGCCATAATCGCACGTCTGTGGCTGGCATTGTATTTCCCGTTCATGGAGGAATTGTGATGCGGCATCGGCCTGCTGAAATTCTGATGCAGCTGATGGTTGCGACCAGCGTCTACGAGGCAGAATGCCAAAGCCAGGAGGTGCGATGTGGCAGACGGTGGTAGCTTTCTCGTGGTGGCCCGCCTGTTGTTTCTTTTCATGTCACCTTAAACTCAACTAATACTGCCATCTAGGCGAAATTAATGCGCTGTCGTGGTGGCGAGATGTTAACTACCTCGCCTCACATACAGGAGTTTGTGGGTTCGATCCCGACCCTAACGATGCCTGTATATTTGGAGATTGCATGTTCTCTCCGTGGTCGCGTGGATTTTCTCCAAGTCCTCCAGTTTTTTTCCCCTCCACATTTAGAAATAACGCGCGTTCAGAGTATTTATCTGCTATGATTTTCCACGTGATAAGCCACTTCATTGAGCCGTCATTTGTGGCCAGGTCGCTTCTGAGAAAGCGCTATATAGCTCAGTGGGCCGTACCTGGTAAAAATAAAAGAAAAATAGTTTAGTAGTAGGTTTTTACCCTTTAAACTGGTACAAAAACTGACACCTTTATACAAGGCATCATGTTTGCAATAACCACAACACAAGCAGTCACAATGCAAACAAAAAGAAACAACTCTGATAACGATAATGATATGCACTGTCCTTGAAGTTGATTGGTCCACACCCGAGACAGCTTTTCTTAGAGCCTCGTCTCCATTGGTGTTGGACCAGTTTTTGTACCAGTTTAAAGGGTAAAAACCTACTACTATATTTTGCCACTGGTATAGGAGGTCTCATAGTGTAAAAAATAGTTTAGTTGAGAACGTCATTAATTTAATGCCCGTGGCAGATTCAGGTCTCGCTCGTCACGGATGCTTGTCCTTGCCTAGGAATGGCACCCCGGTCGGCAGGATCGTGCACCCACACACATGCGCACGCGTGCGTCGTACCTGTACGTGCAAGGGCGAAAGTACAATCAACGCGCCACGTGGTTTCGGGTCGTTAACGTGCTTTGGGGCCGTCCCAGCACGCCTGCGCTAACCCAAACCACCCGAGTTTGTTGTACACACGAGTCCCATAGCCGTCCTAGGCCATTACGTCTCACTCGGTCCGCGAAAATGGTCGGCGTATCACTTAATGTGGCGTTAAGACACACCGTGAAAATAGGTCTGACCGTGAACGGCTTGTAACCAATGTTCACGGGACGCCTGTTAAACCGGCGAAGTTCCATGTGTGTCCGCAGCACGACTCAATCACATTCCGTAACGCCTCTCTCGCACACGCAGAAGAAGAAGAAAAAATAACCTCAGCTGAAGTCTTCATTCGCCAAATAAGTTGCTTGGCATATACATATCATGAGCAGGAGTATTCCAAAGTCAAGGAATTCTCAATAATTGGTTGTTATTGTCGAAGGCAAGAAAGTAAGCCAATGTATGAATGAGGGTGGAGTGATGGCACTGGGGTTAGTGCACTTTGCTACGAACCCATTTGCCTGAGTTTCATTCCCAGCCGAGGCGAACATCATGGGGGAAGTCTTAAACAAATAATGTGTGGCCCCTCTCGTAATGAATAAAGACTTTTTGAACCGATCTGCAGTGAAGTTATGGTACAAAAAACAACCGCCATTCCTGACGCTCTGTGGAGGCCTTCATCGAGCAGTGGACTGGAGAAGGACTGCAAATTAAGCATGAGAAGTCGTCGTTTGGAAACTAGCACTGCCACCGGAATTCGAAATGTCCACCAAAGGCTCATGACCCA